GGGTTGGGCAGGGAAGGGGAGGGAGGAGTCAGAATCTGTTCTATGGAGGAAGAAGCAGGGCGGGTTCTGCGCAGGACTTTGTCCAGTCGTGTGGAGGAGGAGGAGCCAGCAGAGCCCGGCCGTTGCTAGGAGACCGAGGAGCCGTGGCTCCACCCCCAAGGATCAGAGGAGGGTGGGTGCATGACGTCAGGTGGAGCTGGTGCTGCGGCCACTGAGGCTGCCATCAGCCTTAGCTGGTGAACTGGGCCGGGCGCCTCTCCGGTGCCTGCCGGAGCCTGGCCGTCCCACTGCGCACCTGCGGGCGGCTTCTGCGTCTGAGCCACAGCCGTTTGCGGGCTGGGAGGCCGGCCTGCCGGGAAGCTGAGGCTGCATTGTTGGGATTTGATGCACTAATCTCCTGTCTCCGCCGCCTTTCCCTCTGTTCGGTCTCTTTCCCTCCCTCCCTTCGTCTGTCCTTCCTCTGTGTGTTTGTCCATCCTCCTCTGTCCCTCCTTTTCTTTCCTCTCCTGGCTTTCTTTGGTTTTCTGCAATGATGAGACAGGCACCGACAGCCCGAAAGGTACTCTTGCTTGCTCTGGTCCTGCTGCCGGGTTGCCAGGGCGATGGTGGCAGCAGGCTGCTGGGGTGGGGGTGGGGGCTGATTGACTTCTTCTGTCTACCTGGTTGGGGGAGGAGGGTGGGGATGAAGTGGGGGGGGGGCAGGGAGAGGTGTGTGTCACTGCCATGCCCCACACCCTGGGCATTTGCTCCCTGCTTTGGGCTCTGATTGTGTGTTCTGGGCCTTGTACCCAGTGGCCTCACAGCCTTGGGCTTCAGGCAGCTTTTGCTGCAAACTGGCTCTGGGAGTTTCCTGTGAGAGGATGTGGGGAAGCAGGTCCTGGTGTCTTCATGCCCCTAGCAGGCCTGCCTCACCCTTAGCCTTTGCTAGGAACCCTCTTGGTTGTACTCCCAGCATCCCTTCTCCACCAGGGTTTGTATTAAAAGGCTTTTCCAGGGTGGGATGGGGACCCTAGAATAGTTTTTGACCCACAGCTATGGAGGCTCAGCTCAGGGTAGGAGGGGTGGGGTTTGGTCTCCTTGGACTCAGTGTCTCCTAGAGGTAGGGTCCAAGCCAAATCTGTTTTTGCTGTTTTGCTGTAAGATACTGGGTAGCAGGAACACAATTTGGAACTTGGGATTAATCATCTCTTTTGGTTTAGGTCACTAGTTTCTCTGTGCTGCTGCCCACCCCCATGTCCTTTCTTGCAGCTGGGTGGGGTTACTTTGCTGAGCTCTGGGCTTCTGGTTAATGCAGTATTCATGGTCCTGACACCTGAGCCCTCTGCCCTAGGGATGGGGACTGCTGCAGGATCTGGTCCTGGGGGAGGGGGTGGGGTAGGGAGGAGGGCAGCACTGTTTTGCCTAGGGGGCCTTAGCCCCCCTGCTGGGGTCATATCACTCACTTCTGGGCTTCTAGCGTCACTCTGGTCACGTGGTATTTCTAGGGGGTCTTCTGTGGAGTCTGGCACTTGAAGGAAGGGGCTGACCTGGGAAAGTCCTTGGGAGTGGTGGGTGGGCGGGGCTTCTGGCTCTGGGCTGGAGTGCCAGAAGGACTGTCTCTAGGGACCTCCACCAGCTGCTGCCTTTGGTCCCCTGTGGCTCAGCCTAGGAGATGGGGACTTCTGGGATTTTCACGGTGTTTGAAGGGGTGAGGTCTGCAAGGGTTGGGCATAAGTGGGGCAGAGGACCAATGAGGAATAGGATTCTGAGGTCCCGGAGTAGAAACAAGGTGATTCACTGGAGGGAAAAGGGGATGGGGTGGGAATGGGAGTGGGGAGGCAGCTAACTGTAATGCCATTCCTGGTACTTCTTCTGCTCTCATTGCTGTCCCTTCTGCTGTCTGTCTTTCTGCCATTATCCTTTCTTTCCTGACTCCTCCTCCTCCTCTGGCTCCTGTTGCCTGTCCAGACCACAACTCGGCGGCCCAAGGTGAGAAAAAAAAGGCCTCTGTACAAACCACTGCTGAGTGTAGACTCACATTTCAGGCATGTGCATGTGTGTGGGCCTGTGTTTGAGCAAGTTAAAGGTGGTCGCAGTGCATCCTGGGTCCTCTTTTTCAGAGGAGTGAGGGGACTGAGGGTGGTGACAGGCCTCTCTTGGGAAAATGACTCTGGCTCTTAGGAGGTTGTCTGAGCCAGTAGCCTGAATGCAGAAGAGAAACGAGAGTGATTGTGGTCCTTTAGGGCTGGCTTTCTTGAAGAAGGGCATTTTGACTAGTTTTTTGATGCATGAGTGGGGGTGGAGGTTGGAAGAAAGGTGAGGAAGAACTTGGCACTGTCAGTGTCAGGGGATAAGGACCTGGAGTTATCTGTGGGTAGCATGTGATCTCTGAGTGTCAGCACATCAGGAGAGCTTCAGGGCTCAGTACTGCAAGGGAGAGCACTGGGCAGGCCTGTCTGCTCCAGGGCCTGGGGCTTCAGGGAGCTCTGCCCCAGTCCCACTGGGGCCTGGGTAAATGTTGCCTGGTTAGAGCCCCTTTGTCTTGGGGGGAGGGAGATGACAGAAGGTTGGCTGTACTGACCATGTTTCAAGGGGGAGCCTAGGAGTACAACTTTCACTTTGGCCCTTTTGCCTGAAGGGTCCCCTAAGGTAGACAAAGGGAGGGAGAATCAGCTCAACTCCCAAAGAGTGGGATACAGAGCTTGGTACCCCCACTTTTAGCCCAGGCTTCTCTGGGAACATGAAAGTTAGAGAACAAACTCCAATTTGTTCTTTTGCTTTGGGAATGACATTGAGGCACTTTTTCTTCCTGGGGAGGAGGGTACAGGCCCAGAACAACGATAGGACTGGGAGTATTAAGAAATTGCTAGAATGATCACAACTGGGTCACAGAGGGGAGGTCTGGGGAGTAAGGGATTCTGTTCTAAGGGGGTAGTGCCAGAGCTGGGAGGAATGTGGGGTCAGTGCCAAGGGAGAAGCATTAAAATCTCATGTCTTCTATCACTTCCTCCCTTTCTCCTCTGCCCGCCTCCTGCCTCCCCCGTCCTTTGTCACTGTCTCTGACTCTGTCATTTTTCCTCTCCCCTTCACTCTGCTTCTCTGTTCTCACTGTGCTTTGATACTCTCTCACTGCCCTTTTCCTTCTCTGTCTCCTTTCCTTGGCGGATTCTCATATTCTGTCTTTCTCACCACCCCTGTTCTTTTTCTGGCTTGCCCCTGTCCTCTCTGAATAGCCCACCCGCCCAGCTAGTACTGGGGTGGCTGGGGCCAGTAGCTCCCTGGGCCCCTCTGGCTCAGCATCAGCAGGTGAGCTGAGCAGCAGTGAACCCAGCACCCCGGCTCAGACTCCACTGGCAGCACCCATCATCCCCACACCGGCTCTCACCTCTCCTGGAGCGGCACCTCCACTACCTTCCCCCTCTAAGGTAAGGACTGGGGTTGGAGTGAAGAAGAACCAAGACATAGGGGGGCTTGTGACCCCAGGCAGGATCTTAGAAATTTTCCAGGGCTGGGGGAGACCCAGAATTTGAATCCGAAGGGTGGGGACATAGCATATGTCCATTGACTCTGCCATTGACTCAGCTACCCTTTCTTTTCTGCCCTCCTTCCACACTTTCCCCTTATGCACCCATCCTTTCTCAGATGTTTGTAGGCCACTTTTGCTTTTGACCCTGGGGCTGGAATGATGTTTGCTTATATTCCTGTCCTTTCACTCCAGCTCAGCTTTGGTGGGGTGGAGGAGGAGGCTGTGTACCTACCGAGGGGTCTCTCCTTTGTAGGAGGAGGAAGGGCTGAGGGCCCAGGTGCGGGACCTGGAGGAGAAACTGGAGACCCTGCGGTTGAAACGGGCAGAAGATAAGGCAAAACTAAAAGAGCTGGAGAAACATAAGATCCAGCTGGAGCAGGTGCAAGAATGGAAGAGCAAGATGCAGGAACAGCAGGCAGACCTGCAGCGACGCCTCAAGGAGGCGCGGAAGGTGGGACTTGGGGGGAAGGAGGTGGCTGGGGAGCTTGGGACCCAAGCCAGTGAACTGGACACTAGGCCGGAGGACCCTGGAATACCCTGTGAGAAAGCGGGCATGAGGCGTCTCTCTGCTTGCACTCCCACCAGCATTCCCCCCTCCTCAGGAAGCCAAGGAGGCCCTGGAGGCGAAGGAACGCTACATGGAGGAGATGGCTGATACTGCCGATGCCATTGAGATGGCCACTCTGGACAAGGAGATGGCTGAAGAGCGGGCCGAGTCCCTGCAGCAGGAGGTGGAGGCATTGAAGGAACGTGTGGATGAGCTCACCACTGACTTAGAGATCCTCAAAGCTGAGATTGAAGAGAAGGGTAAGGGGCCAGGAGCTGCTGGGGGCCAGATGGTGGGCTTGGAGCTGTGTCTGAAAGTGTTAATGGTCTTCCCCAGGCTCAGACGGGGCAGCGTCCAGTTATCAGCTCAAGCAGCTCGAGGAGCAGAACGCCCGCCTGAAGGACGCCCTGGTGAGGTAGGGTCCCCTCCCTGCTTGGCTCCGAGGCTCACTCTCCTGTCTCTAGAGTGCCCATCGCCAGTGACTCAGACACAACACTTTCTCCCTTCTCCCTCCCTGCTTCCCCACAGGATGCGGGATCTTTCTTCCTCAGAGAAGCAGGAGCACGTGAAACTCCAGAAGCTCATGGAGAAGAAGAACCAAGAGCTGGAGGTTGTGAGGCAGCAGCGGGAGCGTCTGCAGGAGGAGCTGAGCCAGGCAGAGAGCACCATAGATGAGCTCAAGGAGCAGGTCTGGGGAGCCCAGGCCCTGGCCCAGGGGACCCCTCTCCTCTGAGGCTTGTGCCTCCTCTTTCTAGGTACCTTTCAGCAGCCGTTCTCCCTGTTCCCTCCCTGTAACACAGGTGGATGCTGCTCTGGGTGCTGAGGAGATGGTGGAGATGCTAACAGACCGGAACCTGAATCTAGAAGAGAAAGTGCGAGAGTTGAGAGAGACCGTGGGGGACTTGGTAAGAGAATAGACCCCTGACTTCCCACCCTGATGGAGGGCATTTGGAAGGCACTTGCTGAAAGAGGGATTGATGCGACCCCTGACCTTTGAGCAGGCTATGTGGCGAGCGGCCCCTCCCTGACCTGCTACCCTGACTCTGCCTTTCCTTTGCCCCGACTGCCTTGTGGCCTCCCAGGAAGCGATGAATGAGATGAACGATGAGCTGCAGGAGAATGCGCGCGAGACAGAACTGGAGCTGCGGGAGCAGCTGGACATGGCGGGCGCACGGGTCCGGGAGGCCCAGAAGCGTGTGGAGGCGGCCCAGGAGACGGTTGCAGACTACCAGCAAACCATAAAGAAGTACCGCCAGCTGACCGCCCACCTGCAGGTGCCTGTGTACCCCCTGCTGTCCACCCACAGTCACCCCGGGCTCCCTCGTGACCCAGCCATGCCTCATTGCTGTCTCTTCTCCCAGGATGTGAACCGGGAACTGACAAACCAGCAAGAAGCATCTGCGGAGAGACAGCAGCAGCCACCCCCGGAGACCTTTGACTTCAAAATCAAGTTTGCTGAGACTAAGGCTCACGCGAAGGTCAGGACTGGGGAGTGTTGGGGCATCCACCCTGGCTGTGGCTGTGGGCTGCTCTGATATGGTGTCTGGACTCCACGTGGCTGGAGGAGGGGATGCTTTGCATGGTGGTCTGGAAGACTCCTGGCGGAAACTTGTCCCAGAAGCAGGGGTCCTGGTGGAACAAGGCATGATAGTTCCGAGGCTCTCTTCAGCCTGGCTGAGAGCCCATCTACCTGTCCACTTCACAGGCAATTGAGATGGAATTGAGGCAGATGGAGGTGGCCCAGGCCAACCGGCACATGTCCCTGCTGACAGCCTTCATGCCCGACAGCTTCCTTCGGCCAGGTGGGGACCATGACTGCGTCCTCGTGCTGCTGCTCATGCCTCGTCTCATTTGCAAGGTATGGCCAGTCAGTCTAATCACGTGTTCAGCAGGACTCTGTTGAACTTGCTGTGTAGCAGGTCTGGAGGATGCCGAGTGAAGAGAGCAGTCAGCGTCCCTGCTCACAGAGAGTTTATCTTGTAGTGGAGGAATGCAGTCAGCTAAGTCGCAGATGGATGTGTATTACAGGCGCTGGGTTGTGAAGGGCGGGTGGCTTCTCTGAGACAGCACTATTGGGGCTCTGATTTAGATGGCAGGGTGGAACCAAAGGAAGAACATTTGAACTGAGACCCAGAAGATGACTACGAGTTAGTGGGGGGATAACCATCAGGATAGAATTCAAGTAAAAGGGTAGCAGAAGCAGTAGCTTTAAGGCAGGAAAGAGCTTGGTCCCACTGGTTCACTACCCTTTCATCTTCACATCCCAAGTCTTCACAACCGCCAGTAATCACATCATTATCCTTTCCCTAGGTGAGACTCCCTACCCATCTAAGAGCTGTTTCTGCTTTCCTCCTCCACATGGATCCGTGTGTGCTCCCCCCAACCTAGTTGCTCAGTTTTGTGTCCTGTGTTCCCGAGTCTGTGTTCTCCATCCTCTACTCTGAGCCCCAGGTTTCTGGTGCTTCTTCCCACAGGCAGAGCTGATCCGGAAGCAGGCCCAGGAGAAGTTTGAACTAAGCGAAAACTGTTCAGAGCGGCCTGGGCTCCGAGGAGCTGCAGGGGAGCAGCTCAGCTTTGCTGCTGGGCTGGTGTACTCGCTGAGTCTGTTGCAGGCCACACTCCACCGCTATGAGCAGTAAGTGACCCGCTGGCCCCTGCTCTGGGACCACAGGGCCAAGATTGGATGGAACTGAGATTGCCTGGCAGGCTTTGGCCTCAGAAGACCCTTCTCTGGTCTCTAGCGCCCTCTCTCAATGCAATGTGGACGTGTATAAGAAGGTCGGCAGCCTCTACCCTGAGATGAGTGCCCACGAGCGCTCCTTGGATTTCCTCATTGAGCTATTACACAAGGATCAGCTGGATGAGACTGTCAACGTAGAGCCTCTCACCAAGGCCATCAAGTATTACCAGGTCTGGGGCAAGAACTCAGGCTTGGCACAGCAGGGGGGGAAGGTTTCTCTTGCTGGGGCGGTTGCCAGTGTGGCCGAGGTTGTGTGTCCTAGGCTGGCTGCTTAAGGCTAGGCTTGCTCCTAAAGGAACTTGCCTGAGGATGCAACTCCTTGGGGACTCAGATTCTCTTACACCTCTGGAGTCCTATGATGACCGGGGCTCAAATTGTAGTTTGGAGAGAATTCTCCATCCTTCCAAGATCTAAAGGCTGTCTCTCTGTCATTTCTCCTCAGCATCTGTATAGTATTCATCTTGCCGAACAGCCCGAGGACAGTACCATGCAGCTGGCTGACCACATTAAGGTGAGGCGTCTGGGCCAGTGTTTGAGCCCTCTGTAGAGATCAGCAGTGGAGGACATCAGGTCAAGAGATCTGGCCCTCAAGGGCCGTCCCATAAGACTGGAATAGATCAGGAAGTCAGAGAACCGAAATCTCTGTTGGCGGAGGGTGGGGACTATTTAGAAATGGTGATGGGGCAGAAGGGCTCCTGTTGGGGGCTGACAACCACACGTGTCTGTCCTTACAGTTCACCCAGAGTGCCCTGGACTGCATGAGCGTGGAGGTGGGACGACTACGTGCCTTCTTGCAGGTGAGAGCACAGCCAGATCTCTTTGACCTCCTCTTCCTCGTTAGTCCCCACCTCCTCACCTCCAGCCCTAATGCTCTTTTGGTTCCCCATCTATTTCCTGTTCCCTGAATAGGGTGGCCAGGAGGCTTCAGATATTGCCCTCCTGCTCCGGGACCTGGAAACATCGTGCAGTGACATCCGCCAGTTCTGCAAGAAGATCCGGAGGCGAATGCCAGGGACAGATGCTCCTGGGATCCCAGCCGCACTGGCATTTGGACCACAGGTTTAGGGCAGCGAAGGGGGGAAGGAAAGGAAGCTGAGGAGAAGCAGGAGGGGCCTAGAGCGTTGAGATCTGCATCTGGTCAGGGAATAAGAACGGTCTTGAGGTAGCTGGGAGCTGTGGCGCAGGACCCAGGGTGGGCTCCTGACTTTGGGCTGTTGCACAGGTATCGGACACACTCCTAGACTGCAGGAAACACTTGACGTGGGTGGTGGCCGTGCTGCAGGAGGTGGCAGCTGCTGCAGCCCAGCTCATTGCCCCACTGGCAGAGAATGAGGGGCTGCCCGTGGCCGCCCTGGAGGAGCTGGCTTTCAAAGCAAGCGAGCAGGTGGGCCTGGACGGCTGGGCAGAGGTGGTGGTGGAGTCTTGTGGCCAGTATGGGATTTTCACTGCTGCCCTTGCCCCTGTAGATCTATGGCACCCCCTCCAGCAGTCCCTATGAGTGTCTGCGCCAGTCGAGCAACATTCTCATCAGTACCATGAACAAATTGGCCACAGCCATGCAGGAGGGCGAGTATGATGCAGAGCGGCCCCCCAGCAAGGTGGGTAGGGAGCTCTTTGGAGGATTCCAGAGGCGCCAGACTGCCAGAGCTGCTGCTGGTTGTGGGAGGGTTGGGAGGTGGGAGAAGGGAATCTGGAGAGCACCACCCTGCTTGGAAGGCAAGGCTTTCCCTATACCCAGATCTCTCTGGAAGGACCATGTTGGTGACCTCCTCTACCCATCCCTGCCTTCTGCTCCCACCTGACCCCTAGCCTCCCCCAGTTGAGCTGAGGGCTGCAGCCCTCCGTGCAGAGATCACCGATGCTGAAGGCCTGGGCTTGAAGCTTGAAGATCGAGAGACAGTTATCAAGGAGTTGAAGAAGTCACTGAAAATCAAGGTGAGGGTATAGGGTAGGCTCAGGATCTGGGGGGCCAGGAAATGTTGCTGAGGTACAGGACAGCATTGAGTGTTGGGGATCTCCTGGGACTGGGACTGGTTGGGAGTTGAGGGGAGAAGTGGCACCTGTGATCAGTGGGGGGAGCACCTGTGGGCCCTTCGCAGCTTTCTAGCTCGTGGCCTATCCCGGGTCCCTCGGGCCCATGAGAGGATGTAAGGGAACTAGACACTCTCTGCCCTTGCCCAGGGGGAGGAGCTGAGTGAGGCCAATGTGCGGCTAAGTCTGCTGGAGAAGAAGCTGGACAGTGCTGCCAAGGATGCAGACGAGCGCATCGAGAAAGTCCAGACTCGGCTGGAGGAGACTCAGGCACTGCTGCGGAAGAAGGAGAAGTCAGGCACCTTCCCTGGGTCCCTGCTTATCCCACTCCTCCTTCCAGCCGGCCATTCTCCCTCCTAACCCATCCCCCTACCCAGACCCTCTCAGAGTGAGACTCTCCCCAGGTGAGCAGGTACCATTTTCCTTTCCCACTGCCAACCCCATTGTGTCACCCCAGTCAGAGCATGTGCTGCTCCTGGCTCCTCACTAGCAGGGCTACTCCGAGGACCTGTCAGGACTGAGAAGTGGGGATGGGGCTCCGGGGAAGGGACACTGCCTAAGCCCAGATTCTCTTTCACAGAGAGTTTGAGGAAACGATGGATGCACTCCAAGCTGACATTGACCAGCTAGAGGCAGAGAAGGCAGAGCTAAAGCAGCGGCTGAACAGCCAGTCGAAGCGCACGATCGAGGGGCTCCGGGGGCCCCCTCCCTCGGGTATTGCTACCCTGGTCTCTGGCATTGCTGGTGGTGAGTGTAGTGGGACAGGCAACGTCGGCCCAGAGGAGAATGAATGGCTTCCCTCCTGTCCTTGGCCTCAGTTTGACTTCTGCCCCCCTCTTACTGGATGTTCAGCCAGGAATGTGTTCGCCCAGTTTTGCTCTATGACAGCTTTTTACCAGGCTTTTTACTTCCCCTGAAGATACGCGCAGAGACCCCCTGATCAAGGTGGGGCATTACCAGCTTGTCCGTGGAGCTCAGAATTACGACGACAGTTAGACTCTAGCAGATGTCCCTTCTGGGTCTGGCCTTTCTGTGCCAGCCCTATATCCCAGAGGGTGATCAGCCTACAGCAGATTAGGCTGGCTCTGTTGCTGTATCCAGCCATGCTTGCTCTTGATTGCTCCTCTGCTTGCACTTTTTATTTCTCCCTACTGAGTTTTCGTGGCTTTACCCTGTGGTGTGCTTGTCTCTTCCATTGCTGAGTTCTCCCATTTCCACTTGGGGCTTGAGTTCTGACCTCTGCCTGGTCTCTAGTGTGGTCAGGGCTCCTTACCTGGAGTTTTTCCGGTTCTGAGGCCCAGTCTTCCCAGTTTTCCTGGCCGTGTTAGTTTTTGTCTGCTCTGTAGTTTTTTAGTTTCTTTCTTACCTCCAGAAGACAGACTCCTTGCCCTGAAGCCCTCAGGATCTCCAGAGCTCCCTCCAGAGCTCCAGAGCTATGCCTGTCTTGTCAGTTGGCCTTTCCTAGGGTCTTGTTCCCATCAAAGCCCCCCTCACTGGTGCCTCTTGTTCTTGGGAGGTGACTGAGTACTTGTTGGCTTTGGACTCCTGTGGTACAGTTGGTTCCTGTTCCTTAGGCAAGGGGTCTCCAGAGTTACCACATTGTGTTGTTGTAGCACAGGCTTTCTAAACAGATACTGGTTCTGATTCACAAAACTTCCCACCAAAAAAGCGCATCTTTTGCCCCAGAACAATGGGGAACCCGAGGAACAGGGAATGCGGCTGCACCTTCAACTTCAGCTTTGCTGCTGCGGAACACTAAGGGTGCAGACATCTTGGGGTCTCGGGGTCTCGAGTACATTCCGTTTGCCCTTCTTGGAGATGGAGTGTGAGGCAGGGAGCAGGAACGCCTCCTGCCCCAAGTGCTTCCTGCAGCGCACACTCCTGCTGCCGTTCTTCCTCACACTTTGCCCCTCTTTCACGCAGAGGGCAGGGGCAGGGTCTTGTTGGAGGGGGAGTGATGGTTAGGAAAGGGTTTTCCTATAGGTCATGTCCAGGATTCCTCTGGTGTGGCCCCTTAACCCCCAAGTTGTCTAACTCCTCTTTCCTCTCTTCCTGCTCCCACATGGGCTATCCCGAGCACAGAAGAACAGCAGCGAGGTAGAGAGCTGCCCTGGCGAGGGGTTACCAGGGCTGTGGGAAGTGGGTCTGGGGGAGCAGGGTAAGACTCCCCCCTTGGGAGCAACCAGGACTGGAGGTGGGAGTGGATAACGAAAGGGGATGAGCAGGGATGGGGCCCATCTTCCATTCTCTCCACTTGGGGCTGATGACACTTGTCTTGGTACATACAGGAGGTGCCCCTGGGCAGGCTCCAGGGTCTGTGCCAGGCCCCGGGCTGGTGAAGGACTCACCACTGCTGCTTCAGCAGATCTCTGCCATGAGGCTGCACATCTCCCAGCTCCAGCATGAGACTAGCATCCTCAAGGTGAGAGGGGTCACAGGAAGGACTGGGGTGCAGGTGGAGTCCACCTGCCCCATTGATGATAGATGGCAGAGCCTTCTGTCACCTCTTACCACCATTCCTCTTCTTCCCCCAACAGGGAGCCCAGATGAAGGCATCTTTAGCAGCCCTGCCCCCTCTGCATGTGGCAAAGCTCTCCCCCTCACCTCACGAGGGCCCTGACAGTGAGCTAGCAGCTGGTGCACTGTATCGTAAGACCAGCCAGCTGTTGGAGACGTTGAATCAACTGAGCACACATACCCACGTAATAGATATCACTCGTTCCAGCCCTGGTATGGACCCACCAACCCGTGAGATGAATAACGTACCCTCCTCCCTTTGCCCCAGGGCTATAACCCCTACCCAGGCAGCTGCCATATTGTAGAGGCTCTTCCTTGCATTGCTTTCTGGCCTTGGTGTTCAGTTTGCTTGATTCACCCGTTCTCTTATGGACCTGCTCCACGAGAGGGTCTAGTATCTGCACTCCTGACCCTTAATCCAGTACAGCTGCCTGCCTGGGCCTCAGTGGGCCTCACTAGCCTTCCTTCCCCACAGCTGCCAAGAGCCCGTCGGCCCAACTCCTGGAGCAGGTGGCTCAGCTCAAGTCCTTAAGCGACACCATCGAGAAGCTCAAGGTTAGCTCAGACCCTGCTCTTCCTCAGTCTACAGAGTTTGCGTCATAACGTTCCCTGCTGGAGCTCTTAGCACATTCATTTCCATAGGCACTCCCAGAGTTCCTCTGGGCCCAGCCCTGTGCTAGACAGCCCACTGGGGAGGAAGTGGAGGGCAAGGCAGGGTTCCTGCCTCAGAAGCTCACTGTCTTGGTGCAAACAGAAGACAGATTCTCATCAACAAAATGGGTTGAGCTAGGATCATCTTTAGAGTGTGGGGTTTGGGTGCAGCTTCTTTAGTGCTGAGATCACTGTGGGGTAGAATGGTTGGGGATGGCTTCCCAGAGGCTGTAGAGTTTGAGTTGGGCTTTAAAGGATAAGTATCTGTAAAGTAAGGATGTTGGGTGGGGATGCGGTTGGAGGTGAGAGCAAAAGTATGGTGACAGAGAGGACCAGGTCCCTGCTCCTCCTGATATCAGTGTCCCTGTGAAACCAAGAAGATTCTGGGCTAGCCTGAGGGGGTCCCCTAAATGAACCCTTGTTCTACTCCTTGCCAGGATGAGGTCCTTAAGGAGACCGTATCTCAGCGCCCTGGAGCCACAGTCCCCACTGACTTTGCCACCTTCCCTTCGTCAGCCTTCCTTCGGGTAAGAGGGAGCATGGGGAGGAGGATGGGCAGTATCAAGGCCTCAGGTGGGTCCTTCCCCTCTCCCCCAGAATATGAAGAGGCCTTTGGGGTCTCAGGTTCAACAACTGCACATCCTGAGTTAACTGGCCAAGTTTTACTTGTAAGCAACTCAGGAGTGCTTGTAGTGCTTCCAGAAATTCCAGTATTTTTTTTTTTTAAAGGTTTTATTTATTTGACAGAGAGAAAGACAGCCAGAGAGGGAACACAAGCAGGGGGAGTGGGAGAGGGAGAAGCAGGCTTCCCGCCGAGCAGGGAGCCCGATGCGGGGCTCGATCCCAGGACCCTGGGATCA